ACCCTAATTTGCATTAGGGCGCCTGTTCCTATGTTTGTCTGGCTCAGTGGCAGCACGGCCCTAAGAAAATAACTAGAGTATGTTACTTAACTACCATGTGGGCAGCAGGGAAGAATACTGGCAGGGAACTGTGTCAAGGGTCATCCTTGAGATAAGTCAGGCATCCGGACTTAGAGATATCCTCCAGATAAGGCTAGGTAGACAACGGGAAGTCCTTCATATTGTGCTCATCGAGAGGAGAATTGCTAATCTATGGTTGACTGCAACCTCTGACTAGTGGGGATCCTCCCAACATGCAGGGTGCTCCGAAACACACACACACACACACACACACACACACACACACACACACACACACACACACACACACACACAGGAGTGTGGTGAGTTAGGGAGGGAAAGCATAGACAAATTTTGGCTTCAGACCTGGCAGTTTATCAGCCCATTCATTGGCTAGGCAAAGCGATTTTTCTCCTCTAATTATGGTGGCCTGAACTTTTTTTCTTTTTTTTTTTTTTTTTTTTTTTTGGTTTTTCGAGACAGGGTTTCTCTGTGGCTTTGGAGGCTGTCCTGGAACTCGCTTGGGTAGTCCAGGCTGGTCTCGAACTCACAGAGATCCGCCTGCCCCTGCCTCCCGAGTGCTGGGATTAAAGGCGAGCACCACCAACGCCCTGTGGTGGCCTGAACTTTTAAAGGATTTCTTCCCGTGGTCCTCTACATGGGAAATAACAGCAATGCAAATGCTGTTATAATGGAACTGGTGTGAAAGTGCTCTAAACCTGGAATTCTGATGTAGTGGGAGGAACCTGGTTACAGCTTTAATTATATTAAATCCCAAAGGCAAAGAGGGGCATTCTGACTGACAGGAAGCACAGCTGCCAAGATACAGCCAGTTTCCTTGGTTACCTCATATCCAACCTGTTGCTTACTTAACCTGGTTTCAAAATTAACCAAGGAAGCTGGGTGGTGGCGGTCACACCTTTAATTCCAGCACTTGGGAGGCAGAGTCAGGTAAATCTCAGTTCAAGGCCTGCCTGGTCTACAGAATGAGTTCCAAGAAAGCCAGGACAAAACAAGATAAATAAGTAAATCTCTCAAATGGATGCAGATCCTTTCTCAGGTGGGAAGTACCATCCTGCACTAATTTTAGCATCATCACTGACCTTGTGGTTGCTCCAACCTAGTGCTAAATTGTGAATCATGGCCCTCAATGGAGAAAATGGCAACGCCATGGTTTTTTTGTTTTTGTTTTTGAGACAGGGTTTCTCTGTGTTGTTTTGGAGGCTGTCCTGGAACTCTCTCTGTAGACCAGGCTGGCCTCGAACTCAGAGATCTTCCTGCCTCTGCCTCCTGAGTGCTGGGATTAAAGGCATGTGCCACCAACACCCGGCCCATGGCAACACCATGGAATAGTCATGTGTATTCTGCCTGCTGTCTTGACTGGCCTGTATTTTTGTGGGGCAGTTTCTTTAGTTGGAAGCAGCAAAACCAAAAGGAAGTGATGGGGGATGTCCTTCTGTATATATGTTTCTCTTATTGGTTGATGAACAAAACACTCTTTGACCAATAGAGGCGGGAAGATAGGCAGGACTAGGAGAATTCTGGGAAAGGTAGGCAGAGAAAGACCTTGAGGAATACCATGTAGAGACCGGGAGCATAGGATGTGCCAGGCGTTTTTCTGGTAAGATAAGGCCATGTAGAAATAGATAGCTTTATAGAGGTGGCTTAATAATTAAGACAGAGTGAGCCAAAAAGAAGCCAAAGTCTTAATAATATAATATAAATATAATATAATTATAATAACTTATAATATAAGTCCTTATGTGTTTATTTGGGGCTAAATCAGCTACGGGACCAAGCTGTAAGGAAACTCCAGCAACAAGGAAGACCATCCCTTTGATATCAGTTGGAGAGAGGAAGAGCCCTATGGAAACTGGAATAGCAATTCTGAATGTTCCAGCTGTCTCAGCCTTTACTTTTCTTGAGAAGTTGTGCTGTGCCCAGCTAATATGGGGCTGCTAACATCCTGTCTAGGGCTTTTCTAGTCTACTTCCACACACACACACACACACACACACACACACACACACACACACACACACACACACACACGGCGGTGTGTGTGTGTGTGTTTGTGTATAGGAGCACCTTGCAAATATTTGTTGTTTCTGCAGGTGTAAGGGAAGCTTGGGCCCTGTCCATTGTGGACAAACTGGCTCCCAGTCTGGTAAAGCTTTTCTAACAGACAGCCTATTGTAAATGAGGGATGGGGTCAGGAAAAGATGCTTCTGTAATCACTGGCTACCGTAAGGTTCATCTCTGGCCGTCACTGTAACAGAGGTTCCTCCTGTCATTGCCCTATCCTGCCTCTGGGTGCCAAGGCTCCTTTTCTCACAACTGTTTTGCCTGTTGGCTCAGGTGACTCCATTTCCAGAGTGGACCTATGATGCAATCCAGATGAGCTCTAAGCCCCCAGGGCAGACCAAGGCCTGGTGTTTGCGCCCTGCTCATCTCCCCTACCTAACTTATCTTATTCATTTACACTTCCTGCTATCTCAGGGCACTCTGAATATCTGGAGTCTGTAAGAGCTCAGCTACATACAGGACACTGAGAAAGATTAGGGACAAATGATTTATTTAATGACAAAGAGTACAGTTGGTTGTAAGAGAAAGGAAAGCAATCCAAAGCACCCAGAAAACCAAAAAGGCCCCAGTGGGAAGGCAAGGAGGGAATCTGCTACTGTGTACGTAGAGGATGTGGGGCCTGGCGTAGAAAGGGTGCATCCTGTTGTGTTCACTGGCCAGAGGTGTTCCTTAGTTCTTTGATGTCTTAAGTTCCTTGGCACCATCCTTCTCCTTGAATCTGGACACCTAGGAATTTGTTCACAAACTCAGATGGAACCAGGCATAGTGAGCGGCGCACGCCTTTAATCCCAGCACTGAGGAGGCAGAGGCAGGCGGATCTCTATGAGTTTCAGGATAGCCATGGCTATGTAGAGAAACCCAGTCTCAAAAAGAAAAACCCAACCTGAATGAAACAAAACAAAAAACTCAGATGGGCCATTGGACTGTTTGCCTCTCCCTGATGTAGCAGGGATCCCAGAATTACCTATACCAAGGGAATGCCAAAAATCTCTGTATTTCCTGGATGTTAGCATTTCTCTTGAAGTCCTGGGTACTTAGGGAGCCTGTTGCAGACCTACAGACACATTCCAGGCAGGGCACCTGCCTATTACCTGGAAGACTGCAGGGGAATGTGTGTGGCCAGATTAGCCCCAGTTCAAATTTGACTGGGTGCTCCCTCCCAGATGTTCACTCCATCTTAGGAGTTGACTGACGTTTGCTTCTGTTCTAGGCTATGGATTCTTTTGAGGAAATGCCTCCAGAGGCAGGAAATGTTCCTGAATATTCCACAACAGATACCATGTTGAAGATTACAGTCTACAGTCTGCAAAATACTTCAGAGACCGAGTTTTCTGTTTCACCCAGGAGCCGTAGAAGGATGTAGCTCAATGATGACATACTGAGCTTACTGATGCACGGCTTTCCAAAGCCCTGGCTTTAGATGCAAACCTTGCAGGATGATTATGAAGACCCAAATACAAGCACAGCTTATTCTGGCAGTCTACCTCTGCGGCCCAGGAAAACTCGGGTGAGCATCCAGGGCTTCCTAAGCAGGTCAAACCTTCCTGATTCCAGCTAGAGACCCACATTCAAAGTCCAGGGACTCCTCAGATGGTCTGATTCATCTCAACCTTCTGGCAAGAAGCTCCACGTCTGCTCTGACAGCCCCCCACCTCTCAGAGGCTGAATTGCCTTCAGTCCAGAAAAAGTCCCCAGCTAGACATCAGTTGCTTCTGAACGGACTGTGCTGTTCTGAGACAAATGGTCCATCTCCAAGGAGTACCGCTTAGCACTCACGCTTTCCAAATAGCACAGTGTAGCCTGCATATCTCAAGGTTGTGATAATATCAGAGGCAGGCAAGAGGCCCAGTCTACTCCAAGCCAACAGCAGGCTGCAGGCCAGCCTCTAGGGAACCCATCAAAAGAGGCCCCAGCTGCAACCACAGGGCTCTCTGTGGAAGCAGAGCTTCCCTCCACTCACACAGGCCCTAGATCAGCCTGGAGAGCTCCTTGAAGACCTTGAAACTGCCTGAGGTTAGCTGAAAGCACCTGCAGAACCTGCAAAGCCCAGAGGAAGTCCAGCAAGAGTCTCTAGTTCCAGAATCTTCTGTGGAGAGTGAAGCTGAAAATCCAGCAAGACTTCAGCCTGGGGTTTAGATCAAGCTCACCATTATCCTCTGCCCTATGTTACAATTTGGCCTATACATGTACAACCCATAACTCCCAGGCCTCCCAAGAAGACTGAATGTCCTCTCGTCCTGCCTCCAGGCCCTCTGGTGAAGCTGAACCTCCTAACTAGCCTCGCCCCCAGCCAACTCAGCTTTCCAAGTCTCCTGAGATGGTAGAATCTTCTGGAAGCCACAATGGAGGCTCAGGTTCAGTTTCCAGAACACTTGAGGAGGTAGAACCTTCAACACAGCAGGACATTCCATTTCAGCCTCTTTGAAAGGCTACACCATTTCCAGTCATCAGGAACAGCTATCAACCTCTGAGTCTCCCGAGGAGACAGAATCATTTCTGGAAGTGAGTTGGAAGCCTCAGCTATGTCTGCAAAGACCTGAGAACGTCAAGGTTCCATTTAAGGAAAAGGCTCCAGAGTCGCTTATGAAAAGGTAGTTGATACTCCACCAATTCGTGAAGTGACAGTCTAGCCAGGTCAGAGTAAAGATCACCACTATAACTTGTCCCACAAGTGAGGACTGTGGGTGTGTTTTGCATAACCTCAGAGCCTACCAAGAAGGTTGAATCTGGGGCTAGAGAGATGGCTCAGTGGTTGGGAGCACGAGCTGTTCTTCCAGAGGGCCTGGGTTCAATTCCCAGCACATAGATATGGCAGCTCACAGTTGCCTGTGGGATCCGACACTCTCACACAGACATACATGTGGCAAAACACCAGCACACATAAAAAATAAATCCTTTAAAAAATTAAAAAGAAAGAAAGAAAAATATGGTCTTTTTGAGCTTCATGAATGAGCTTCTTGATTCTACCAACAAAAGTGGTGTTATTAGTGTCCTAAATTACATACTGCCATATTTCTCAGAGGGGAATCTGGAAGGTTTCATTTTAATGTTGTCACCATTCATTATACTACTTTTTTTTCTAATGTACAAGACTGTAAGTAATACCCTGGGATCTTTGCAAAATGATACAGTCTTCCTCTAATCTACATCTAATAAGAGAATTTGTTAGATGCAGAAATTGATGAGGTTAACAAGAAAGAAAAAACTACCATGGTTATGCAGCAGTCTAGCTGTTTAGGTCCCAAATTTAAATGACAGATATTGAAAAGAGATGGGAACCTGCCCGTGCAGAGGAAGACAGTCTTGCAGAGATTGAGAAGGCAGAGAAAGGACTCCTCCACAGGATGGACACAGTGCTCAAGGGGACAGGAAGCATACAGAAAAGGCACTTCAAGGAAGTGAGTGACAAGAGCCTGTGGAGTAAGCAGAGTGTCCGGACACCTGTGGAGAACATCGCCAAAGATGGGCAGCTCAGGGGCCCACCCACCACAGAGCTGCAGCAGTTCAGTCTGGTGCAGAAGCCCAGGAAGTTAGTGGGAAATTCCTTCCACTCAGAGCCAGTGCTTCCAACAGAACCCGGGGAGGCAGTGTCTTCTTCCCCAGAACCGTCCCTGGTGGACAAAGCTCCCACTACAAATTCGCTACCTGAGTTCATAGATAGATGAAAAGACTTGTCTTACACCATTTTTGTTTTAGAAAGGGCAAATGCCAATGTGAAAAGAGTGATGGGGTCTAACCCTAGTTTACAGTCTGAAAAGAGACATGGAAACCTTGGGAAGAAAATCTCATTTCCAGTTGATTGCAAAGAGGCCAGCATCCTCTGCAGTGAAGAGCCTGGTAAATCCCCCCTGCACGAGGAGTCTCTTCATCTACAGGAGACATGACTTATGCAGAAAAGCCTTTTTCAGAATCATATGCTGCTTCAGAACCTCATACTGAAAAACCTCTTGAAGAAAACCAGGATGCAACAGATAATAGTGAAGAAAACATCCTCAAACCAACCATCAGAGAATATATCCTCTGAGAATCTTGCTGTAGAGTCTAATGTGCCTCCATCCGATTTAATTCCATCTGATCAGCAAACCAGAGAGCCACAGTTAGACTTGGGGTCTGGCTCACATGACAATTTCAAGGAATTTGCTTACCCATTGCTGATGGCACCGGGTGAACACTTTGAATCTCAGCTAAACCAGCAGCTGCGGCCCCTTATCCCCAACAACAACGTGAGAAGGCTTATTTCTCGCGTTATAAGAACTTTGAAGATGGACTGCTCTGACACCCGAGTGCAACTGTCCTGTGCTAAGCTCATCTCCAGAACAGGCCTCCTGATGAAGCTTCTCAGTGAGCAACAAGAATTCAAGTTGTCCAGGACAGACTGGGATACAGACCAGTGGAAAACTGAGAACTACATCAATGAGAGCACAGAAGCCCAAGGTGAACAGAAGGGTCTGGAACCAAGTCAGGTGAGGACAGTGCTGGAACGTGGGGACCTAGCCTACTCATTGTTTGGGAGACGTGAGTTAACATGCCAGACTTAAGAAAGGGTGTTTGAATAATTGCCTATACCCTGCACATCTCTTAGCTATTAAACAAAATGTGTCCTTTTTAGCTCACAAAAGAGGTCCCACGATACAACTATGACAACAAACTGTAGCAGTGACCATTTTGATCATATTTTTCTGTCTCACTGAAGTAAGGACAATTTGGTCCAAAATCCAAAATAGATCCAGAACTGACAGTTCAGAAAGAAAAATCCATTCTTTCAAATAAAAAGGTCTCCATCCTCTGTAGTGAGAATCTTTGGACGTGCCCTTCAGGAGGAGGAGCCTTTTCATCTTTAGCAGACATGAGTTCTCTGGAAAACTCTTTGTCAGAATTACATCTTCCAGAACCTACAAGAGCAGTGCTTCTCAACCCTCCTACTGCTGTGGCCCTTTAATACAGTTCCTCATGTTGTGGTGACCGCTGACCCTAAAATTATTTTAGCTGTTACTTCATTACTGTAATGTCATTACTGTTATGAATTGTAATATAAGTATCTGATATGCAGGATATCTGATATACGACCCCCATGAAAATGTCTTTTGAGCCCCAAAGGGTTGGGACCCACTGGTTGAGAACTGCTGTTCTAGAGGCAGGGTTCCTATAGAAAAACCAGATTGCATCAAATACTTTTGAAACCCAACAAAGACTGGAGAACACTGGGCCAAGCAGAGCTCCTGGCTTCCCTTCTGCTTTCTAGGTAGGAGTTTTGTGACTCAGGTGACCGCTGTGGCTTGGAGATTTGTACAGACCCCTGCATGGAAACACAGGAAAAATGTGGCTCAGAATCTATGAGGCAAGGGGTCCTCGGGGGGAGGAGGAGATTTTCCATAAGGATGAACCAGGGACAATGGCTGGGGTGATTAAACATTCCTAGCTCAAATGAGGAGCTCAGGACAAGTGTGTCTGGTCCACTCAAGGTTAAAAGCTTTGGCATAACACAGGAAGACCTGGCAGAGACTCCCCAGAGTGGCAGCCCCTCAGTGTGAAGAGGAGAGGGGGAGCTCCCGAGGAAGGGGCTGACTTGACAGAGTCACCCTATCCTGTAAGTTTTTATTCCTCTGTCACATGAAAAATACTAATGAATTATTTTTAATAGATTCATGAGGGTTAGAAACCTTTTGTAAATAAGTGAAAAAGCGTGAGAGCTGAGAATGTGCCTACTGATCATAGAAACACTGCTGTTTTAGTGATATGAAGAATGGTGCCAGTCCTGGATGGTCAGCAGCCTTGGTACCCAGAGGAGCACTGTGCCTGGGGAACCACTGGTTCGTGTGGCTGGTTATGTTCCAAGCAGAGCGAGTGGCCCTCTAGTCCTAGTCTGGCTGGTCAGTTAGCTGACTGTGAAGGAGACACCTCCCAAAACTCCTTCCTGAGCATGGATATCAGGGCTTTCTCTGTGTGGTGTCATCAGAGAGCAACTTAAAGCACAAGAACACGAGTGGGTAGATGTGGGAAGCAGTGGAGGTTGCAACCACTGCTGCCCCTTCGCAACAGTGTTTTAGTGCCAAACCCTGGGCTGGGCCTTTTACATATTACGCCACTTAACTCATCTATCAATGGATGCAATTATCACATACTGGGGATGATTGCACACAATAGTAAAGCTGGAACTTAGGAGGCTAAAGATAAGTTACAAGTTCAGTATCAGTCATCAGTGTGGACTAGACAGTAAGCTCCAGGCCGTCCTAGACTACAGAGCAAGATTTTGTCTCAAAATTAACTGTTGACAGCTCGGAACAAACAAACAAAAAACAAACATGTAGGTAGAGAAGAGCCTACGAAAGAGCCATAGATCACGCATCCAAACAATGACTTAACTTTTTAAGACGGCCTCCTTAAACTGCCCTGGTACAGGGTACAGGAAGATAAGCACAAACTATGTTGCCATCAGTCAATCCTATACCAGGTACAGTGCTAGGCACTTTAGTTACAATGTGGTAACAAGGACATAAATTCTTTCTTTTTTTTTTTTTTTGGTTTTTCAAGACAGGGTTTCTCTGTATTGTTTTGGAGGCTGTCCTGGAACTCACTCTGTAGACCAGGCTGGCCTCAAACTCACAGAGATCCGCCTGCCTCTGCTTCCCGAGTGCTGGGATTAAAGGCGTGCGCCACCACCGCCCGGCAGGACATAAATTCTTCAAGTAAGCTCAAACTGATGACAGGAGCCAGTGTGTTGGTACTAATAATAGCTATGAACACAAAGGGATAGAAAGAAAACAGGAATTAGAGACACTAGTGTTACTCAGCTTCCCAAAGTTTACACCAGCATCCCGGAGAGCTGCGGGCCCCTGGGTTGGCAGAAGGGACAGACAACTAAATTCAGAGCGAGACTGTTTGGATGTGATGGTGGCTGTGCATCAAGAGGAGGTGCAGTTCTGTGCTGAGTCAATGGGAGAGGCGCTTGGAGAAGCGGGAGCAGAATAAAAGGAAGGCGGGGGTCAGAACAAAAGCAGAGAGCACGGCTCTTCCAGATGTGTTTGTACTAAAGCCTGACAGATGATGAACCCGATCCCTGGCAAAAGCATAGGAACCATGGTATAACGTGGTGAGAAGACATGATGGAAGCTTAGGTTGAGGACAGTCTTTTGATGTCAGCCTAAAAGTAGAGCTATGATCAAGCAGGTACAGACAGGGTGGCAGGAAGAAGGAGAATATGGGCATCAGATTGGGGCGGGGCAGAGCTGAAGAGCAGGGATCAGCAGGAACCAGGGACATCAATGGGGAAGTTGGGTTCCACAGCCTAATGAGCTGGTCATCGCCAGCAGCTTTTTTGGTGGCACTGATGTTACCTGCCTCCTCATCCCCATAAATACAGAATTCTGAGGAAGATCCTCTCCCCTCAAACTCCATCTTAGTACACAGGCTGCCCCTCCCCTGAACACTTGGATGGGGGAGTGAATAGCCTCATTTTGTTTCTGAGGCCCTCTGCTATGATGCATCAACCCAATTTATATTTGCAGTATATGCTGAGTCCCCTTTATGTGATAGGAGGCAAGGAGATTTATACCTAGGAAAGTCAGTGAGATGCTGGCATGGCAAGGAATGTATGTGTGACAATTAATTTGCAGTCTGGGGCCAAAGTTCCCATCCATTCAATGGGTGGTGATTACTATGTAGGCCGAGAGGGCATCCTGTTTGACACTGATGCTACCCCATAACAGCCACTTAAGATGACATAAGCACCTATTTACACAACTTGTGCCCATTAGATATTAAGGAGTAGCTTCCACAGTTCAAGCTCTTGTATCTCTCAGCAGGTTCTCAAGATCCTAGCCAGGACGATGGCCATCTGATGCCGTCACTGGGGCTGCTTGCTCATCCATATGCCCAGTAAGCGGGGCTGATTGTTAATGGCACCTCTCAGTTCCTGTCGACAGGGGTCTGTCCACGTGTGATGATGGTGGCTCAAGGGAGGTGGAAAAGGGAGGGGAGGAAGAGAGGAGGAGGAGGAGGAGGAGGAGGAGGAGGAGGAGGAGGAGGAGGAGGAGGAGGAGGAGGAGAAGATGTTCTTTACAGCCTACCTTCAGAAGGCCCATAACATTACTTCTGCCTCAGCATAAGAACAGAAGCCAGTCACCAAATCCAGCCTACATCCAAGGGAAGGGAATGATAGCACCATTTTTTGAGAAAAAGTCACAGAAATTGTGGGCCTATTTTTAAACTACCCGAGTGCAGGGTAAGTACCCTCTTCTCTGCTACTGCACCCATTCTCAGTACTTCTGACACCAACTGGAGAGGGAGGTCCCACACCAGGCAACTTTCCAGTTCTCTGGGGACACCAGCTGAACTTGGCTCTCACTGGAGTTAGTGCCAGACTGCTCAGATAAGGACTCAGCTCTACCCGAGGCCCCGAGAAGATGACAGTCACAATCTCCTACCAGCTCAGGGTCGATCACTTGCTAGGATGACTCTCAGAGCCCAGGAAAGCAGTTCCCTTACCCCTGCTGATCTATTACACAAAGGATCCAGGGGAGCAGTGAAGAGCCAGGGGAGAGGAGCATAGGTGAGGTGGACTGGGAAAGCTCCCGTGGAGTATGGAGTTCGTGTGTGTGTGCATCACCCAGAACCATTCTGATCTCCGTGGTTGGGGGCTTTTTTCTATTTTTTTAAGGTTTTTGGAGACAGGGTTTCTGTGTATATTCCTGGCTGTCCTAGAGCTCAGTCTGTAGATCAGGCTGGCCTTGAACTCACAGAGATGCACCTGCCTCTGCCTGCTGAGTGATGGGATTAAAGGTGTCACCACCAGGGATTTTTATGGTGCCCTCAGGCAAGATTGGTTTTTGATACTTGAGTAGTCCCATCTTATAGGCCAGGAAGAGGCTGAGAATGCAGAGAAAAAGAAGATAAGCAAAGACCTCAAATGGCCACACAGCATCCAGAAATGGTGTACACCAGAGAAGGGACTGAGTAAGGAAATCCAGTCCCCAGCCCCCTGTGGAGGGTACTAACTCAGGAGCCCATGCCCTGTGGAGCTACAGCAGCTGGATACGATGCCCAGACCCAGGAAGTTAGTGGGAAATCCTTCTGCCAGAGTCCTCACTCAAGGAGAAACACAGGCAGCGCACTCTTCTCTGCTGAAATGGCCCATGATGGAAGACGTTTGCATCTGTAAAAGTCACCATCTGTGGTCAGAAGCCAAAGGAAGGACTTCACCTAGACCCTTTTGGTTTTGGGGGACACAGCTGCTGGGGTTAAAGGCAGGAAGGCTATGAAGCTGGTACAAACACCCATCCCCTCTATCCTGTGGCAAATCAAAGCCAAGGATACTGACTCTTGAGAAACGTTCATGACTCTGACTGACGCTTACAAAGCAGCCTCCGTGTTCTGCAGTGAGGATCTTTAAACCCCGTCAGGTCTGGGAAGACTTTGCTCTTTCTGGCTATGGACCAAGCCCTGGGTGAATCTTGATGAGGCCCGAGATGCATGTTGGGAGAGACAGAGAAAAAAATGACACCATCAGTAATTGTGTTGTGCCAATGTTTCTCCCAGGAAGCTTCCTTTTGTTATCCACAGTGCAGGTACTCACAGGGACACGGCAGTCACATAAGCTTGAGTCTCGGGGCTGTGACTGAGACGGTGGGGGAAGGAGAACTCGTATTCCCTTTTCTGTTTTCTGGGAAGACTTTTTCTGGCTAAGGCAGCCACTGTTGAGACAGACAGTCTTGTTGTATAGCCCAGGTAGAGACAGGCAGTCTTGTTGTATAGCCCAGGTAGAGACAGACAGTCTTGTTGTATAGCCCAGGTAGAGAATGCAGGGGGAAAGCTGAGGGATATATGCAGGCCTCTTAATGCCACACAAGAGAAAAATGTGGCCCAGAAGCAATAAGAACTCTTCCAACAGGGAATAGATTTTCCATGAGGATGAAGGGAGAGTAGCTGGGACGACTTAAAATTCCTAGCTAACTCTAAGAGGGAAAGACAAGTTTAATTGAGAATCAGCTTGGCTTTACATAACTTCAGGAGCTCAATGAAGCTCCCACAGAAGCATCACACAGAGCTGGCCCCTGAGCAGAGAAGGGTCCAAAGTGACACTGACCCCATTCTCTCTGGGCAACAGGCAAATTTTTATTTTCAAATACAGGATTCTCAGCTTTGGTTATAAAATATCCCTTCATTCGCATAGCACAAGTCGCCTCTGGGAGGCAGAGGGCTCATTATTTTCAAGGTTGAGGACTTTTAATTAAAATCCCAATTGTCTTGGTGCCTTCTCTGGCATTTCTAACCTACTAACCTCTTTATTTATAAACAATATTTGGGAACTTGGGCGTCGTCCTCTCCAAACTGCTTCCTGCTGTTTGGGGTTACTGTCAGTCCCAAAGGGATCTTGAGAAAACCCAGAAACCTGGTCAAATCCTGCCTGTAGTTGTCTGTGAGGCTGCATTGTCTCAGCTGTTTTGGATTTTGGATCATGATGGTCACTGCTTCAGGGGGTCTTGTTTGATCAAACCATATTAGTCTGGAAGGAATCCACAGCTCTTCATTTTCTGTGGAAACAAAAACAAAACTTTTTTTTCAAAGTAACATGTTCTTAGACTTAAATTTTGAAGTCAAGGCATTTTTAAAATATATAAGTTGGATTGATACAGCAACATTTATT